TGCTAAAACAAACTACTTATGTTAAAAATAATTCTCTGTGATTTAAAGGAATATATGGCATTTTTCTATGTTTCTCGCCTATTATGGACAAATTTCATTATATTGCACTGGAAGGAAGAGGTTTGTATAATCTGATTAATCAAACTTCCAGTTGTTTTTATTTTATCTATTTCTTCCACTCCTGGACACTGTCGTTCTTTAAAGCTTGTATTTTAGAATATCTGTATATGCAGAACTGGGAGTGGGGGTGAAGGAAGAAGAAGAACTGAATGTAGTATGTTGATCAACCCAAAGTTAGATGCTTGTCTTAGACTGCTTGGACCATGTTCTGTGGAGCAAAGCACCCTCGGTCAGATGTTATCACTGTATGTTTCTTTTCTTCCAGGTAATAAGCACAATTGTGCTGATGGGGTTAAGTAGCCACAACCAATCTCTAGGAGTGCCACTGCATTGTCTCCTTTCAGACCAGATGCAGATTAAGAGTGAGACTGGCCTTGCTGAACCATGTCTCTTCCCCTCCTGCTGGACCCTCCCCTGTGCACACATAATGGTGACATCATGTTCATGTTTTAACTATCACAATTACATTTTACTGGTGTAGTCAGTATTTCCTGGAAAAAAATTCTTTTGACATAGGTTGATTAAGGCATTAGAATGAGTAATAAGGAAGACTTAAGTCTTTTCAAATGAAATTTGCCAAAATCAACTCCAAGTCTTTTTGTTTTTATGCCTTTCTCTAGCCAAAGTAGTAACAATGTAGTAATAATACTTTTTTGCTGTTTCCAAACCACTTTCCTAACATTATCTAGTTTAATCTCAACAGCCTTGTGAGGTAGCTGTTATTTCCAACTTTTAAAAGAATGTGAGGCTAATGGGTTTTTTTTTAAGATCACATAGCACGTATATGACAGAGCTAGAACGTAAGCCCAGGGCTGTTTGATTTTAAACCTGCTTTTTTTCCATTCTATTACCTAAAGAGGAATTTAGAACATAGAACAGTAATTCCACTTTAACAAACTGTGGAGTGTAATGGACAGTGTTTGTTCTATGTTTAAAACTAAAAGAAGTCACAAAAATGACTAAAATCTTGGAAAATAAAACCTAAAACACAAAATAGTAAGTCTCTTGGTCTATTAGAGAGTCTTACATAGGGGAGACAGCAAACCCAGCTGTTCCTAATCTGTACCGAGGCAAGCCTGAGGAGGAAAAAAAAGAAAAAAAAATGTTAAACTGTAACACAGGAATAAGAAAGAATTTTTTTGTAAGTATTGTTAAATATTGGAGCTGCTAGAGACTGCATTAATTCTCCTTGTCTGGTGGTCATTGAAAATTCCTATCTTTACTAAATGCTCTTGAGTATGATCCCTCCAGAAAGGAAGGTTTTGAAATAGATGATACCTCTGAGAAACCACTTCCTTGACCAGTTTCTCACTAAATACCAGTTAAGATCCTGAGGAAGAGATATCTTCCCTAACTATCCACTTCATTTTAAGATGTGCTAACATACTGTTCAGCTAGTTGATGTTGATTGGCTATCAGATCACTCATTGTATTTCATATAAGTCCTATAAACATTTTTGAGCAGCTACTATGAACCCATCTTTATAGTAAATTATAGAGCTAGAAGATTAGTAAGCTATTTGTCAATCACAATCTGGAACTGTTGTGACTCTAGTGTTTGAAGGTAAATAAATTGATACAACTGGCCATTGAAAGGCAAGCCGAGTGTTTCGTCAGATACTTACCTAAAAAATCAATCCATCTAATCCAACGCTGGGGACATGGGTGTGTTGAATTTACATTGGTATCTGTATGGTCAGAGCTTTCTGAGAGTAGTTTCACAATAAGATAGCTTCCTTTATCTTGCTGAATATTAAACCTCGGGAAGATGCAGAGTTGTAGATACTGCTACAATAGGATTAATTCTACCATTTTCCCACACTTTCTGAATGATTGTAGAATTTTGCTTGAGGAAAAGTGAGCTCTAAGTATCAAAGTCACTTCATAGCTGGCAGAAGGTTTGAGGAATAAATGTTAAGGCATTTTCTCTTAACTAAGTTACATTCAAAAAAGGGAAAAAAGACATATTCTCAGGATTTGAATCACAAATGGTTGGGAGCTCAAGTAAGTGGTACTAAGAGTTGCTGTCAGAGTTAAAAATGGTAATAATCAATGGGAATAGTTTTGAAGAGCTCATGGGGAATGCTAAAGAGTAGGAATGTGCATGGCAGATAGCTTAGGAAAATTGAATAAGCTGTGAAGGAAACCAGTTGTTTTTGCAGTACATGAGACAAGGCACAAAGGCAGGACAAGAGGGTGCTTTGGAATTAAAGGCTCCATTGGGGAATGGTAGATTATAAAGTTGCAGAGGTGGAGACAGGCTTGGTCGACTTTATGTCTGAGATCTCCATCACAGGAGTAATACTGAGGCAAGAAAGAAGGGATTTGTTAGTGCGGGCAACTAATGTATATTTGGATTAGCTTACAAAGTTTTTTAAATAATGTTTTACGTTTTATTTCCCTTCTGTTACTTAATTGATATAATCAAATTAAAAATAATTTAACTACATTAAAAAGTGAAAAAATAATCTTATTGATGTGTATATAATTTGGAATTCTTTTCTTATTGATACAGTTTTGAAGTTTTATTTATGCCTTTTGAGAACCTGTGATGCCATACACATCTGTTACTGCCTTAACTGTCTATTTACTTGCTTGAGTCCCTTTCTAGAGCTTGGTTGGGGTTCTTAAATAAAAGCCAAGACATGTCTTTATCTCTGTATCCCAAGCACGTATTCAGACCAGAATGTTTGTGGAATCAATGAATGATCTTTAATCTCACAAGAGCTACTTAAATAGAAGAAAGGGAAACTGAGTCAGTGAAAATTTCTAACAGCTTCTATAGATATGAGTTTGAGAGCTGGCATGCAGCATTAAGCTGTATGGGTGAAGATAAAAATAAGTAAATAGATGAAGTTTGCTTTGAAATCCACAAGTCCAGGCTTTATCAACATCACTAGGTAATTTGCTAGAAATGAAAACTTTTAGGTCACTTCCAGATCCAGTGAATCAGAAATTGTAGGAATGAGGCTCAGCAATCTGACAAGTTCTGTAAATGATTCTCATGAACTCAAGTTTGAAAACTAGACTAGAGAATGTGATAGTGAAGACCATAGAATAGAAAGATTGAATTCCCAAAGATATATGTATCTTTATTATGGATATGTATGTTTGTATCAATAAAAAAGTCATGAAGATGGTATACTGTTAGACAGTTGAATGTGTTGCAGGTGAACAGATCTACCTATCTTGTTTAGATTACTGCCTTTCTAATTTTAGCATTTAATTAAGTAAAGTAGCTATAAAATAGATTAGTTCTAGCAGAAAAGCCTTGGGCTTATAAAAACCTCTACCCAGATTTTCTCAAATATTTACATAATTGCCTTTTGAACTTTTCCTCTTACATGTCTCAAACCAGCCTCAGATCTCTAAAATTATATGTATTATCTTTTTCTTGAAACCTGTATCACCTCCTATAATCCCTATTTCAGACAACTGGATCACCATCCATTCAATTACTCAAGTCAGTTATTTTTTCTTAATTCTCACCAAACAGTGTCAATTATAGCATCTCGTAGCCTTCAATGACACCTTTGTTCTCCTCATCCCCGCTTACAGTTTTCTAATTTGAACCACCTTTGATTTCTCACTGGATCATTTTAACAGCCTCCTAACTGGTTACTATGCCTTGGTCCTTCTCATAGCCTCTAATCCATTACCTAAGCAACAGGACAATCAATCTAAAATAGATCTAACTAGTTCTTTGCTTACTACTGTTCAGTGGTTCCCTAGTTACCTTCTTGATGAAATGTAGCCTTCTTAGTCTAAACTTAGGGCCTTTAAGATTTGTCTCCTGGTTTCTTTTCCAGCCTGCTACTTGTCCTTGTACCTCCAGGCCCTCTGCTATTCCCTCTATTTGGAATTTTTTTTTACTCTGCTTTACCATACTGACATTGCTAGTACTTCCTAGAGGCTGCTTAAACACTACTCAAGGAAGCTGCCTCTTTACCTTCTGAAATACAGTTGTAATCATATTGTCCTGAATTTCCCATCACATATCATTTATCACATCTCACTGAGTTTGTTCATCTTATTTAGCATACTCTGACTTTCGTTCTCCTACCTCAATAGATCGTAGGCTCCACAAGGGTTGAGACTATTGTACTATTATATCACTAATTCTAACACATTAACTGGTAAATAGCAGATGCACCACAAACATTGTGAAACAACTAATTGACAGTATTCTGGATGTGATAATTGGAAATAGTTTTAAAGGTTAATAAGTAGAATTTATATTATTTTCCATCCCAGACTTTCATCCTGTTCATTTACCCATTCATCTAATATTTTGTAGTATGCCCTCTATGTAACAGAAACTGTAATATTTTGCTATGATTCATCCAAGATTGAATTCCAAATAGTCATTACCTCAGAACTTATCCTCTAGTGGGAGAATAGACAATTAAAAAGTAGTTTATATACAAAGCATAGAGGCCAATGTAATGATAAGGAGACAAACTAGAAGGGGCAACTAACACAAATTTGTAGTCAGCAGGAAGTGATGCTTGAGCCAGAATTAGTTTTACAGTTAAAGAGTGGGAACATGTTTAATACACACAGATAGTAAAATCCATTAGTGAACAAAAGGAGATGGCATTTTATGTCTAGGTATTAGTGCTTTCACAAGGAAAGCAAGTTAAGATAAGTTTGTGTTTTAGAACAATTGTAATATGGGGAATTCTCTGAAGAGGGCAGAAGGTAGATTGACCAATTAGATGGAATCCAGGACGGAGAGGAGAACAGGCAGAATTTGAGGAAGGTATGTGGGAGATAGAAGGAAATGAATGGTTTAGAAAAATATTTTGGATAAAGAATCAACAGTCCTTTTCTTTCCTATACTTTCTTTTCTGTCCTGTACCTTCTTTTCTTTCATATAGCTCCTGACAAGTATGAGGCAAGGATTTCACGGAAGAAGTTGCAGGAGAACTCTCCACTACCATAGCTGTAGGCTGTCAGGTCTTGAGGGAACCGCAGGAAGGAGGAAAAGGTGAGAAGTATTTTTGTCATATATCTGGTTTGATGGAAGACAGCACAAAGCAACCTATTATTCAATGGTCATTTTTGTTTCCTGTACTTGAACTTGTTAAGCATAAAGTTTTCTGCCACTAATTCTTCTAGGATCCATGGGCAACATTAAAACTTTTATCTCTTGAAAATATCTTTTGTTATCTAACATAGTCCCATTTTCAAGAAGTAGAGCATTTAGGTTAAGCTGCACAGTTATTTTACCATCTAACAAATAGCATTTAACATCTTTTTGATAAAAATCATAAAGTAGTAGAATTTGAAGGAGTTAAGGTATTTTGTCTTCATCGCTTTGTTTTTTAAGTGAATAAACCAAGACAGACCATCTATAGGATCACATAGTCATCTGGAAGCAGTGAACTTCACCAGAATCCATGCCTCCCTTTAAAACTCTGGTAGACTACTTATAGGTCTTGAGAACATGATTAAGTTCAGTGTGTCGAAAGTCCATTTTATTTTGTTTTTTTTCCAGCCTTAGTGAGATATAAGTAACAAAAATTGTATATATTCAAAGTGAACAGCATGATTTCATATGTGTATACATTGTAAAATGACTACCATAATAAAATTAACACATCACCACCCAACATTACATACTGTATGTGTGTATGGGGGCAGGGGTGGGTGCAGTGTTGAGGACACTGAAGTGCTGTCTTAGCAAATTTCAAATAAACAATACTAAATTAACTGTAGTGTGTACCATCATGTATATTATCTCACTCAGAACTTTCTCATTTTATAATTGAAAATTTATACCCTTTGAAAAACATCTCCTCATTTCTCCCAGCCCCTAGAAACTACCATTTTACTCTTGGCTTCTATGAATTCTACTTTTTTGGATCCCACATATAAGTAAAACCATATAAAGCACCCATTTTAGAAACTAAATGTGATTCTGGGTCATGGTTTTGACTACCCAGGTTATTTATAAAATTTAAATTACCTAAGTGAGTCTGTATACTCAACTACAACAGTGATTGGGGGTTTTCATTACATTAGCTTCACACAGTAAGTGTGTTTTCAGTCAGTTTTAAGTAGCTAGATGGCCATTCATCAACTTGTATTTCACTTAATTTTTTTTCTGCTTTAGTACCCTTTTGTTTCCTTGGTAGATTTATGAAATTAACTTAGTGTACATTGTCATATCATAATTTTCTTGGAATACTCTATGATATGTACATTTTTATACCTTAATAATGACATTTTTGCATTCTTGTTGCTTCATGCTAAGATTTAGTAGTATTTATTTTCCACAATATATAACAGAATAACAAAAACATTATTTATTTTTCTTTCTAACTTTCTTTACTGTATATAATGTATTTGAGAAAGATTAAGTGACTGGTTGAAAAATGTACCCTTGGAGTAAACAGAAGTGCTGGAAATTAAACTGAGTTCTTGACTTAGCCATCTGTGCCATGTTCTGTATAGTTCATGGTATTTATTATGTTAATATATTTCTCTGTTAGTCAATGTTACTCAGCCTCATTGCTGTTAGTTTTGAGATTTTAATATCTCCATACCAGAATATCTGACCAAGGAGTATTTCTTAGAATTATTATTGTAAAAACAGGATATGAGTTTCTCTCCTTCTCCCTCTCTCTCTCCCTGTCTCTCTTTTACTGTTATCTCCTGGATCGAAAAGGCCAAAAAGGCTAAAGGGGGAAAAAAAAAGAAGTAGAAAAGGAGGGGAGAGGAGTGTACAAGAAAGAGAAAAGATACAAGTTCCAAGTAGGAAGCGATTGTTCACTGGACTATTTTTACAACTACTGAAAAGCCCATCTTTTATATGTTGGTGTGATTTGTGAATCAGTTTTTCAAGTATAAGTTGAGGAAGTAGTACACATTGCAATTGTTTGATGATGTTCCCTAATTGTGTTTTTTCCTAGAGACCTTCAGAGACGACATGGTTCCCAGAGAAGAGAATACACAGAGTACAAACAGAGTGCTCAGAATAAGTCAGTTGGATGCGCTTGAACTAAATAAGGCCCTGGAGCAGCTAGTTTGGTCCCAGTTTACTCAGTGCTTTCATGGATTTAAGCCAGGGCTGTTAGCTCGCTTTGAACCAGAATTGAAAGCATTCTTGTGGCTTTTCTTTTGGAGATTCACCATCTACTCCAAAAATGCCACTGTAGGACAGTCAGTTTTGAATATTCAGTACAAAAATAATTTTTCTTCGAGCCTGAGATATCAGCCGCCAAGTACAAATCAGAAACTCTGGTATGCTATTTGTACAATTGGTGGGAGGTGGTTAGAAGAACGATGCTACGATTTATTTCGAAACCATCATTTAGCATCATTCAGGAGAGTCAAGCAGTGCATGAATTTTGTGGTTGGACTTATAAAATTAGGTGATTTGATTAACTTCTTTATTTTCCTTCGAAAGGGAAAGTTTGCAACTTTGACAGAACGTCTCTTAGGCATTCATTCTGTATTTTGCAAGCCCCAAAACATCCGTGAAGTCGGCTTTGAGTATATGAATAGGGAACTTCTCTGGCATGGTTTTGCTGAGTTTCTTATTTTTCTTTTACCACTCATCAATATCCAGAAGTTGAGAGCCAAGTTATCCTCGTGGTGTATCCCTCTTACTGGTGCTTCTAATAGTGACAGTACATTAGCTACCAGTGGCAAAGAATGTTCTCTGTGTGGAGAATGGCCCACCATGCCTCACACCATAGGATGTGAGCACATCTTTTGTTACTACTGTGTTAAAAGTAGTTTCTTATTTGACATGTACTTTACATGTCCTAAGTGTGGCACAGAGGTACACAGTGTGCAGCCTCTGAAATCAGGAATTGAGATGTTAGAAGTAAATGCTGTTTAAAAACTAAAATTGTTTTCTCTAAGGAAAAATGTACTATGCTTAAATCCATATTAGTCATCTTTAAGTGTAGTCTTTAGATGACTTTTATAGGGCTTATGCTTCTCAGCCACTGTCTTCTGTTCCTTTCCAAGTGTGAGTAAATTCTAATTGCTGGAAACCACATGATTCTAAATATGTTCTATCAAGTCACATGTTTGTTTTAATTATTGAATTCAATTTTTAATGTCAAGAGTGTTTTTGTGAGATACTTCTAAGAAAAATCCTTCCTAGAAAGAGGTTGGACTCTAAAAATAAAAGATTTTTAAGACTCTGGGATGAGTGTGCATTTATTTTCAGAGATGTCATAATATCATAATCTGACACGGATAAGACCCTGCTTTTTTAAACCTTAAGATCTGGTGCCTAAGTTATTATTTTAAGCTTTTCCTTGAAGTCAGATTTCAAGAGGTTCAGTTCATGGCTGTCAGACTGCTTCTCAGTTGACCTCTTATATTCAGAAAGCAAAAATTACTTAAAGTAACTTAGAAGTGAGGCCTGGGGACTACAGGGGACAACGATATGAAGAACACTTATTTACTGTATCTTTTTTTCTAGTCTTTGATTCAGAGTTTATGTTCTCAGCAAGCATATTGGTGGTTTTTACAAAATACCATAGGTCGTTAACATAGTAATAATAGCAATACATATCAAGTGTACTTCCCTGTTTCTCTGCATTTTTCACTTAAAAGCTTATAAATGAGCCTTTTGCTAAATGACAATAATATGAAAAATATTTAGACTGTTTAAGTTACTTCAACAAAGTAATACCACTTATTTTTAAAGCAAGCTCAATTTTTTGTGTTTTGACAATAAACTAAAATAATTATACTTCAATATACTTACATTTATATATGTATAAGAATAATTCACATAGAATTAGTTAGAATTGCAAAGATTGTTTATTCTCAAGTGAATATTTACACACATGAAATCATACTGGTATATTATCTTTTAATTCTTACAATGGTTTAGAATTAACTTGAGCATTGATCTGTTTCTAGTCTTCATTTGAATGTTTTGATAGGTCTAGTTTTTCATATAGTAAACATCTTTGCAGAAAAATGTAGTATGGGGAAATTGACGGTCAGTTATTCATCTTTTATTCAACAAACACTTTGGTGCTAGGTTTTGATGTTGCCTCTGGGGATACAACAGGGAGTAAAACAGGAAAAATAAAGTTACCTTCATGGAGATTAGCTTCTGTGATTGAATGTATTCTGAATTTAAATTATGTTTAATGAAGATGCTGAAGGAGTTTTATAGTTTGAGAAGTGTGAGATCTTTAAAATTTTACCTTTTTCTCCACTAGTTTTAAAACTTTGAAAATTCAGGTTTAAAAACCAAAGAATTTCTCAGTTTTTCATACAGAGATCATCACAGTATCCTGGTAGATTTTATTTCAGTCCTTTTATTGCACGTAACATTTCTTACTTACAAAATTGTTTACTCACCATCATGGAGCATGTAGGCTTTGTCTGCTTTCTATTGTGAATAATGGCAGTGATGAATCTAGAGTATAGTCAAGAGTCTTTTGGCTCCTATGGTATAAAACCAATTCAGACTGGACATGACCTCTGGTCAAGTCCTGCCTGTGCCATGCAGTTGAGTGTAATCTGGGACAATGTACTAAACCTCTACATTATAAGGATTATATGTTTTAACATAGGACATGTTCACTTTTCATTGATATGAAAAAATACCTGAGAAAATAAGAGAGGAAAGATTTATTTTGGCTCCATGGTTTTGGAGATTTTAGTACATGGTTGCTTGGCTTCATTGTTTCTGGTTCCAAGGCAAGGCAGAACATCCTGGTAGAAGAGTGTAGCCAATGCTCCTATCATGGTGGACAAGAGGCAGAGAGACCCAGGCCAGAGACAAAAAAAACCCTTCCAGGGCATGCCTCCATTGACCCACTTCCTTCAACAAGGCACTACCTCCTAGTTTCTGCCACCTTCCAATAATGAATTATGAATTTCTCAATGGATTAATCCACTGATGAAATTAGAGCCCTCATGATTCAATTACTTCTCAAAAGTAATTGAGAATAACCAAGGCTTCTAACACAGGAACATTTGGAGGACATTTTAGATTTAAACTATAACATATCCGTTACTGTTATCACTGTCATTCTGAGTTGACTTTATTCTCAGGCAGAATGATGGGCCACCTTAGAAGGTCAAGGCTTATGTTCTGTCAGCTTCTGTTCCTGCTGGAATGACATCCTCTTGCCAGATAGTTCCAGCAAAAGTCCACAAGTTCAGTATTACTGGTCTGCCTTGAATTGTGTGCACATTCCTAAACCAGTCACTATGGCTAGGGGAATAGAAAGTACTACTATCTATTACTCCAACATGGGTGACATTACCTCATGCATAAAGCATGAATCTAAAGAAATGGTGAGGGGAGCTTCACCACAGGAAACTGGAATGCTCTTACAAGGAGGATGAATGCTGAGCAGGTAAAAACAGATTCCTATAACAGTCTGTATTTGTCTTTAGGTCCGGATGCAGATTCATAAAAATTTATCAGTGATCTAGTTCAACAAGGACATTCGTAAGTAACTGAATGCTCATCTTAGAATGCAAATTTGGAAGGCTTAAATAAAATCAATAAGATTTTGTTACACCAACAATTTTTGTAATATTGTTATTTTGATATATTCAATATACAGAGCTTACTGAGTAAACACTTAAACAGATGAGCTTATTGTCATAATGAAAACACAGTACTGTATGTATATGCTAGCAAATAGAATTGTCAATACTATAGAAGTTTTATATTTTCCATAGACCCTATTGGCACTTTGTATCCTGTGTGTGTGTGTGGTATGTGTTTTGAGATGGAGGTCCCTATGTTTCCCAAGCTGGCTTTGAACTCCTGTGCTCAAGCAATTTTGCCTCAGCCAATCTGGTAGATAGGGCTGCTTAAAGTTAAAAGCTAACATGTCACCCATTCCTAGGTGGTAACCCTATGAGTTCAGAAACTATCTCAGTTTTAACTTTTACTGGATAATCTCAGAGATTTCTAGTTTCTAGTGTACCAATAGAAAAATTTTGTTAGTTGAATGAACAAACTTAACACAGATTGGATTCTGTGGAAGCAGATGTCAAGAGGGTTTGAAATGTAAGATAGATGCAGTTGTATCTTGGTGTCACTGAGAGATTGGTTCCAGCACCCCTGTGTGTATGCCAAAATCTGCAGATGCTTAAATTCCTTATAAAATGGGCTAGAGTGCACATATAACCATACACACATCTTCCCATACACTTAAATTTTCTGTAGATTACTTATAACACCTAACACAATGTAAATGCTGCATAAATAATTGCCATACTTTATTGTACAGAGTAATGACAAGAAAAAGGAGGCTGAACATGTTCAGTACAGATGCAATTAAAAAAAAAAAAACTTCAGTCTGCAGTAGGTTGAATTCACAGATGCAGAACCCAAGGATATACAGGGCTAACTACAATCCACATCTGTGACAAAGGGCAAGAAGAAAGAATAGACTGAAGAAATAGAAGATTATAGTACCTGATAAAACTGGGCAAACCAAGTTGGGAGAGGAGAGCTATAGAAGTAGTATTTTCTGTCCTTTTACTTGTACATCTTTCAGTCACTTGTGTGCTGCTCTGGGAAGGGAGTAACCACCAGCACTGAGCAGTTCCTGCAGCTGGAGCAAACCCTGAAGGAGCTGACAGCTGGAGGCATTCTTTTGACCACGCATACCATCCTTTAAGAAGGAACTGAGAGGCATATCTTGGTGTGTAAAAATCTAATATTTTCTTTCCTTTTTTTCTTTATAATTTTCATTTTTGTTGTTTTTCTTGTTTGTAGAATCCTTGACATACAACACACTAACGGCAGGTAATCAATGGATTTATGACTGACATACTTGCTCCAGGAGCTCTGCCTCACTGCAGATAGCCAGATCTCCTGGCCAAGTAACTGAGAGTCCCAGAAACTCCTTTCAATTCCTCCCTCCCTGGGCACAGCCAGGTTTATTTTAACACTGAGGCAACTGTTTCTACTCCCTAAGGCTCAACATTCAGGAAAACTGGATCGTATTTAGCTACATGATGGATTTCTACTTTAGCCTAAAGAACCTAACCATAAGTTATGAATGTTTTCCCTTTGGAAAATAAGAACTTTTGCACCAATAATTTTCTTTTCCATGCAACTTGTTCTCAAATGAGATTCTCTGCTTGTGTGTTATCCAAGTGGCTTCAATAATCATATCTAAATCACAAGATGTTAACAGAGTAAACCCAAGGTATGTTCTGCTTCCTGGCTCCCAACTCCCTTGCCTTCAATAATGAGTGACTGTGGAGTTTGAACAAATTTATTTAACTTCATTAAGATTCCATTTGTTGGGCTAAAAAATACATGAAGAAATGTTCAACATCCCTGGTCATAAAGGAAATGAAAATCAAAACCACATTAAGATTCCAACTCGCTCCTATTAGAATGACTACTGTAATGAACACAAACAACAAATGTTGGTGAGGATGTGGGAAAAAGGAACCCTTATGCATTGCTAGTTGGAGTGTAAATTAGTACAACCACTGTGGAAAACAGCATGGAGACTCCTCAAAAAACTAAAAATGGAACTGCTGTATTATCCAGAAATTCTACTCTTACAGATGTGCCAGAAGTAATGTAAGGTTACAATAAAGGCACCTGCACACCCAAGTTTATTGCAGCATTGTTCACAATACCTAAGCAATGGAAACAGCCAAGATGCCCCACCACTGATTAGTGGATTAAGAAAATGTGGTATTTATATGCAATGGAATTTTATTCAGCCACAAAGAAGAATGAAACTTTGTCATTTGCAGGTAAATTAATGGAACTAGAGAACATCATCTTATGTGAAGTTATCCAGGGTACAGAAGGCAAAAAGCTATGTGTCTTCTGGCATGTATGTAATTTAGACCTAATACAAATATAGCAACATTATGAAAAACAGGTCACACTAAGGGAAGGTCATATACAAGAGGGTGAGGGTGAAAGAAGGATGCTAAAAAGGTGAAAATGGTTGATGTACTCTATATAAGAATGAACATAGAATTCTTAAACCTGATGAAACCACCATAAGAAGGTGACTGAGGTAGAAAGAAGACAAACAGAGGAGATGAA